ATTAGTTAGCCGGTTAAGCGTTAAGTTTAACTGGTTAACAGATTAAATGGGGCTGGAGCTGCTCCTCACACAGGACTGCCAGCTCCCATGCCGCTTCCAGGGCCACACAGCTCTGCTCACCCGCTAACATCCCTAATCCCTCACCAAGAGGGGAGGCGGTTAACTGCAAGCAGACTATCTAGAGAACATGCGCTAGGAGGGAAGACTGAAAGAACTGGGCTTGTTTAGTTTGGAAAAGAGATGCTCCAGGAGGCACTGGCTGCTCCCGGGGGAGTCGTGGGAGATCTCTGGGACACTACAGCGTCAGGGAAGGGACACTCACTCCAGGAGTACCGGGGCAGGGAAGAGAACCCAGACCACCATGCTGCCACCGCCACATGCTCTAACCACTAACCCATGCTCTCCCTAAGCGATCCCTCTTAGTAACTATTAGGGTGCGTCTGCAAGGCACCCTAAACTCGAAATAAGATACGCAATTTGTGCTACGTACATTGTGTATCCTGTTTCGATCGTATTTCGAAGTAACGTGCTATTTAGAGACATCCCTTAGCCCTCGTGGAACTAGGATTACAGGGACAGCGTGCCTGTTATTTCAAAATAACGGGCACGTTTATCCCAAAATAGCCCCGTTGTCTGAACGTATCCTTACACAGCCAAGGAAATATCGGACACTAGCCTCAAAACCTGCCTCGGTCTCTTAGGGCACGTCTATACAACGGGGCGAAAGCAGAAATAAGCTACACAACTTGAATGACGTCAAGTGCGTAGCTGAAGTCGAAATAGCTTATTTCGGCTTTTGGCGCTGTCTACGCAGCAGGAAGTCCGAGAAAGAGCACTCTTCCTCCAACCTCCCTTACTCCTCGTACAATGAGGGTGCACGGCGCATGCATCACGTGCTCGCTTCCCGGGGCGCAGGAATGGCTCGAGCCGGCCCTGGTCATACTGGAAGGGCATAACAAGTAGGGGTCCTGTTTTGGGACTGGTCCTGTTCAATGTCTTCATCGACGATCTAAATATTGGCATAGAGAGTACACTTATTAAATTTGCAGATGATCCCAAGCAGAGAGGGGTTGCAAGTGCTTCTCAGGGTAGGGTCATAATTCAAAATGATCTGGACAAACTGGAGAAATGGTCTGAGGTAAATAGGGTGAAGTTCAATAAGGACAAATGCAAAGTGCTCCACTTAGGAACAGTTTCACACACACGGAATGGGAAGCGACTGTCTGGGAAGGAGCCCTGCAGAAAGGGATCTAGGGGTCAGAGTGGACCACAAGCTAAATATGAGCCAACAGTGTGACACTGTTGCAAAAAAGCAAAAAAAAAAAAAACATGATTCTGGGCTGCATTAACAGGAGTATTATGAGCAAGACACGAGCAGTCATTCTTCCGCTCTACTCTGCTCTGGTTAGGCCTCCGCTGGAGTCTTGTGTCCAGTTCTGGGCACCACATTTCCAAAAAGTGGAGAAATTGGAAAAGGTCCAGAGAAGAGCAACAAAAATGATGAACAATCTAGAGAACATGACTTATGTGGGAAGACTGAAAGAACTGGGCTTGTTCAGTTTAGAAAAGAGAAGTCTGAGGGGGGACACAATAGCAGTTTTCAGGTACCTAAAGGGGTGTTACAAGGAGGAAGGAGAAAAATGATTCTCCTCGGCCTCTGATGATGGGACAAGAAGCAATGGGCTTAAATTGCAGTGAGGGAGGTTTAGGTTGGACATTAGGAAAAGTTTCCCGCCTTTCAGGGTGGTTAAACACTGTTGTAAGTTGCCTGGGGAGGTTGTGGAATCTCCATCACTGGAGATATTTAAAAGCAGGTTGGACAGACACCTATGGGGCATGATATAGACGGTGCTTGGTCCTGCCGTGAGGGCCAGGGACTGGAATCGATCTCTCGGGGTCCTTTCCGGTTCTAGTGTTCTACGATTCTATCGAGAAGGCCAGACGCCTGTGCAGTCATTGAGCTGCAGAGACCAAGAACGGTACCATGCATGAGAGATGACGGGGTCTGGCCCTGGTAAAGCCAAGGAGAGCCACTTTCCAGCCCCACTACCTCAGTAGGGATGTGACCATATAACCGTGTAAACGGTTAATGGATGATCCTGGGCTTACTGGTTAAGGTTCACGGTTACTCATAGGCTGCTGCCTTGTGCTGCTGTCTCGGATAAAGACGGATGTTTTAAGCTGGCTTCCGGCAAGTACGGGCTCCCGCCTGCTGGCCCTGCTCCCTGAGAGCCAGTTGCCACCCTGGGGCCGGCAGGCGGGAGCCAGTACTCGCCAGGAGCCAGCCTAAAAGCCAGCGTGGGGAGCTTGCTGCCGCTGCGGGTGTGTGTAACCACGGAGATTTTCAGTGGCTATGCAGTTCCCCACTTTTTAACATCCCTTCACCTGGGTATAAACAGGGGTCACCAGACGAGGGTGGGGAGCCTCTCTGTGCCTCATTTTCCCCATGTGATGCCTCACCCAAAAGGGCCTCTCAAACAAACTTGTGTCAACTCCGGGAAGCCAACACCTTCCTGTCAGAAGCTAACCCTTTTGTTTACAGGCCTCACCCTGACCATTAGCAGCCCCTGGCCAAACCTCAGAGTTTGTCCCGAGCTCCCAGGAGGCAGTGTTACATGCCATCGCCCTGTCGCCATCCCGTGCCGAGCCAGAGAGCACCCTGCACTTTACAAGCCACACTTGATGGCGCTGACCACAACAAAGGGGAGAATTTCTCGATTCATTCACACCTCTGTGAGCCTGGCGTTAAGCTTTTCCACTTCCCCTCGTCGCCGTTACCTGATCATCTTTCCAGCCCACGGAGCCTTTTAACTAAGCCACCCCCAGAGCTTAATCCAAGCTGCAATTCCCAGACTCTGGCTCGTGGCCAGCTGTTGACTGACCGGCTGTCTGTAATAATTAACAACTCCGGGGCAGACTTAGACACCCTTTGCTGGCCAACAGAAACATCTGGGGATGCAAACGCCCTGCCCCCTCGGAAAAGAACTTCTCAACCCTTCCTCCGACTCCTCCAGGCTCGAGTGTAAACGGTGCCACCAGTTCAGTGTTCAGGCACGTGAAATTCAGTGCTACCTGACAGGGAGCTCTCCAAACGCTCGCAGGCATCCAATAGACTCTGGGCATGGTAAACAGCCCAGCCCTGGGAAAGAGAAGCGCTCTCCCTAGAAGAATCGCACCATGATTGTTTTAGGCAGATGAAGATGCCCATAAAGATGGATTTCAAATCTTTTTTTTTTTTTTTTTTAAATCAGCAGAGCTAGTAACCAGCTAGCAGCTGGACCCATGCATGCCAGGCCCGGGGTTGGGAAACAAGTCACAGTCGTAGAATCACAGGACTGGAAGGGACCTCGAGAGGTCGCAGAGTCCAGTCCTCTGCCCTCACGGCAGGACCAAGCCCCATCTAGATCATCCCCCATAGATGTCAGTCTAACCTGCTCTTCAATATCTCCAGCGATGGAGATTCCACAACCTCCCCAGGCAATTTATCCCAGTGTTTAACCACCCTGACAGGTAGGAAGTTTTTCCTAAACCTCCCTTGCTGCAGTTTAAGCCCATTGCTTCTGAGCCCGTCCTCAGAGGCCAAAGAGAACAATTTTTCTCCCTCCTTTACCACTCTTTTAGGTCCTTGAAAGCTGCTCTCATGTCCCCTCTCAGTCTTCTCTGTTCCAAACCAAACAAGCCCAGTTCTTGCAGTGCCCCTTCTCCTGTCACTTATGGCTGCACAGGTGGAAGCAGGAGGAAAAAGCCAGTGGAGTGGGAAAGAGCAGGCATCCTGCTGGGAACTGGGCATGGGAGCATCACGGGAGACAGGAGGGGGAATCGTGCAGAAGTGGAGCGAGCAGCGGGCGGGCAGAAAACCCAGCAGCCAGGCTGGAGGCCCGGGAGCAGGCCTGCAGCTCCTTGTTTTTTTCGGCCAGGGGGAGCTCCCCGCTGGAACACTTCCGAGCACGGGTCAGAGCAAGTGTGCAGACCTGACGGGAGCAGCTCATTCGCGGGCAGGCTGGATGAATCCCAGCTGAGCCGATACTTTATTTAAGCCTCTACGCCGTGGCAGGGATTTCTGTACCATACAACCATCTGCCTTGCTGCTCCTGTGCCCAGCAGCTCAGGCCCTGCGGTGCGAGACACCCACAGCTTGGCTGAGGGCAGCTGACAGGCAGTCTGTCCAATAGCGCAGCCCATCCTGAGCCCTGGGCCACCTGCCTCAGAGGCCTCTGCTCAGCCCGAGTGAAAACCCACCATCAAAAGGGCTTTCCGTTCCCCGGAAAATTCAGGAGGGCCTTCCCTCTGGGGCATCTGCCTTGCCACAGCCGGACCAAGGCACCAGCAGACGGACAGGCGTGTCAGACAGAAAAGGAAAGCAACAGCAAAAAAAAAACCAAACCCCACTCCGCTTTCAAAGCCTCACGGGTGTTTGTAAACCCACAAGCCATTAAACAGTAAAGGCCATTATTTCTGTAGGACCCACAAAAATGTCTTCTGCCCCCTGGGGACTGTGCAGTTAAACTAACAACTCTGATTTCTGCTGACTGA